TGCCGACCTCAGGAGCTAGTTGGCACTGCACCAGGCAGTACACAGCCCAGCGTGTTGGGCCCAAGCTTGCAGAGGTGCAGTGCTGGCAGAGGGTACATCGGGCCCCCAGTGCTGGGGCTGGGGCTGGGGCTGGGGCTGGGGCTGGGCAACCTGCTAGGCCAAGGCCAATGTGCTGTTGATTGTTGCAGATGAGTGAGGCTGAGATGAACGGGCAGTTCGAGTCAGTGTGTGAGTCTGTCTTCAGCGAAGTGGAGTCTCAGGCCATGGACGCCCTGGACCTGCCGGGGTGCTTCCGGACAAGGAGTCACAGCTACCTGCGAGCCATCCAAGCCGGCTACTCTCAGGACGACGAGTGTGTCCCCGTGGTCACGCCCTCCAACACGCCCGCCATCATCAGGTCCGCCACAGGTACGGAGCGGCCCCTCAGGCGCTCTAGAGGGAAACCTCTGGGGGTGCTGAGTGTGCCGGAGGGGCACACCTTCACCACAGGTGTCCTCACTCTCTCGCAGCACCTGGCCCCTGTCCAGACCATGTGCCTTACAGCCACATATGCAGCCGTGGCCAGAAGCATTTCTCTCACTGACAATCTTCCTTTTCTTCTCAGAATGAACTTTGTAAATTGTCAAGGTCCTTTACTATAGCCCAGTGCCACTTTGTATGGTTTTATGTAGAAGGGAATTCAAGCACTGGCCTTTGGAAGGCGCTGGTGCTCTAAGTGTCACGGTGCCATGGGCCTGTCCTCGAGGACAGCTGTGAGGCAGCCACAGCCTTGGCTCCCACTGCTCCATCATAGCCCGTGAATGGGCGCTGTGTGTGCAAAGAGCATCCGCAGCTAGCGTGAGCCCCCTCTTGTCTGCACCCCAAGATCTGTACCAGTCTCCTTTGGTTCATATGGAAAAGCACATTGGTGCTTGGAAAATTTACTGCCCGCCTAAATGTCTCTGCCTAGTATTTGGCTGCAGTTATTATTTATACAACAATGAATATACATGGCCCAGAGACGCCCATAAAACACACTGGTAAAAATTTGCCGCACTATACAGGAGCACAAAGGAGAGAGGCTGTGAAATGCCGCAGCCCTGAGGGATGAGCCGCTTGGAATGCTGTTAGACTAGGCATGCTGCAGCGGTGTCCAACAGATTTAAAGTACAACTCCAGGAAGAAAGGAGCATGCTTTGCTCAGGAGAAATAGTTTGGGAGCCAGGCATAGGACTCAGGAAAGGAGAACCGTCTGGGCAGGAGCCAGTGCAATGCCCAGTGGAGGTGCAGTGTCACGTGAGTGGCAGTGGCTGCGGGACGCTACCTTCTGCAGCCCAGGGCGCTGGCCCCAGGTCTGGGCTGTAGAAGGCGTGTGTTTCCTGGTGGGGTCCATACAGGGAGAGAGCTGGCACCGGTTCCCACACTGCACCACCGGGAGACTTGGGCTCTGCAGCCCTTCCAGCGGTTCGGAGTGTCCCAGGCAGTGGCTCTGACTTGTGGGCCTGAGCAGGATCAGGAATCATCATCCGAGGACAGCTGTAGGTCCTTGGCACCCCTCCTCTGTGGCGTGGTGGCCCTGACCAGAGATGTTCGTGACGCGGTGGCTGCTGAGCCAGGGGCGCTGGGAGCTGCACAGTGGGCTGTGGCTCTGTGTCCTGTGTCCACTGTAAGCACAGGAGAGGGCGCAGCTTGGGCGCACCCCCTGCCTGGCCTGTGTGAGGGCCACAGAGGGGGCCTGGCTGTGCGTGGGTTGCTCTGTTCCACCCATTCCTGTGCATTGTGGAGGTGGGGGCCATGCTGGTGCTCCACCCCAATGTGAGAAAGAGGTGAAACTGCCTCTGAGAGGGCCGGGAAGGGTCAGCACATCCGCGTTAAAGCAGCATTTGGAGAGGGAGGCACGAGCACCGGTGTGGAGTCTGAGCACGGGAATCTCTGAGTGCCTGGCCGGCCCTCAGAAGCACTCTGAGGTAGTAATTACAGCGCAGGACCGGCTGATGGAGAGTGGAAATGAAGCGGTGCCACAGAGCCGATGCAGGAAGCGAGGCTGATCTGGGGCTGACCTCGGAGCCAGGCGCACACTCACTGCATCTTCCAAAGTGTGCACACCGGACACCGTGTAAATGTTTCCACTCGGCCTCCCCAGCTGGTGGGCTCCGTACCCGGACAGACTTGCCTCTGGCTGGCAGAGGGCATCAGGGTCACAGAACCGAAGTGGTCTGACAGCCAGGAGAGCTCCAGGGTCGGCGCCCTCGATCTGCGAAGGAAAGTCACTGGGATTGACACTTGGTCCCGTCCCCTTCACACGAGGAGTGCCTGTCAATTATGTGTGACCTTTCTCTATAAAGAGATTGTGGGCAACATGCAAAAAAGCCTGCGCAATAGGGTTATGAAAATACCAGAGAAGGTGAGAACCCCTATCTGGACAGCAAGAGTGGAAAACAACTGCAGAAACGCCGTAGTGATTGTGGCAGCGAGCGCCAGCCCTGGTTCAGGGCTTCCTGCACGGGAGCAAGCGGCTTCCAGTGCTTCTGTCCTGAGTGCACCTTGCTTTGAGAAGTGCTGCGCCAATCCCAGTGTTTGCGTGTGTGAGTGTGTGCACGTGTGCAGGAAAAGAGAAGGAGATTCTTGTATGGTTCTAAAGCAGGCTCTTGAAAATAAATTGAAAAAGTTATTTTCAAAAGCAAGGTGTTGGGGCTGGTGAGATGGCTCAGTGGTCTAAAGCACCTACTTAGAACAAGCTTAGCAAAGCACAGGGACCATGGTTCAATCCCCCAGCACCACCTGCCAGCCAGCCCTGCCCCCTGGTGGGCTGAGCTGGCCACACACACACACACACACACACACAAATAAATAAATAAATAAAAATTGAACAAAAGCAAGGTGTTGGAAAGAATAAGATTTGTTCAAACATACTTTTTTATACTGTCTTGAAAAGTACAAGTTAGCATTATCTTGCCTTGGTGAGCATGTAAGTGTACGCGTTAATGTTCATGTGATAAGTTGAGTACACGCGGCTGAGATTGGTCAAGCAGCCCAGCATGTGGCAGTCTGTGCTGAGCACTGTGGGGCTGGTGCTGAAGTGACAGGCACCTGTGTGGACCTGGGGGCTGTGGGCCGGGGTGGCCTGGCCCTGCCTGTGGTCCCCAGGGAAGAGACCTGCCCCTTCACGTGCCTGTCCCCCGCTCCTGTCATTATGGAGAGTGGCATGTACTGATCAGCAGCATCTCCTTCAGTGAACTGGCCTTGAAAACATCTAAGCTTCATTTCACACTTGGTTTCTTTCTCATCTGTGAAATGATTTATCGAGTAGATTTTCTTGTCTAAATATGCATTTCATATGATTTTTCTAAGAAAGGAATATTATTGATAGTGTGGAGGAAAATGGTATAAATTAGATTATAATGATTTTGCTCTGGGTCAGAAATTGTCTCGATGGATGTCACAATCGGTTCCAGAAGCCATTAGACAAGAGGGAAAACCACCTGAGTGACAGCCGCAGCGTGGCCGGGCTTGCTGGGCACCGCCCTGCAGTCGTGGGGGAGGGCTGTCTGCTTCCAGGACGGCTGTCTGCTTCAGGCCTTAAATGTAAAGACAGGCCAGCCCTGTGGGGTTTTGGTCTGTAAACTCTGCCTCTTTGTTGGCACATCTGGGTTTGAAGAAACACAGCTAGACTTAGCACTCCCAGGTCTGGCACTCAGGAAATGAAAGACAAGCCGTAGGACATCGTGTTTCACTGCAGAGTGGAGTGTCTCCAAGGCTGCTACCTCATCCTCCCTTGGGCGACCCGCTGTGACCAGATCAAGCGACCCGGTGCACGACCTTATGTGAAGAGGTAGGGAATGTTTTTTGAAAATTTACACTTCAAAAGTGAAGAATTTAAGTGAAAAACCTAGAAGTGGGAGTCAGGCGGGCTGTTCTGAAGGCACTTTGGCTGCTAGAGTGAAGGGGTTTGCAGTCACACCCAGAGGCCGCGTCAGGGCTGTTGCCACCAGGGCATCAGAGGGGCTAGGAGGCAGCACTGGCTGCTGGGCTCGCCCTGCTCCCCAGGATGAGGGAGGTGCTGCAGATGGGCAAACAGTCCCCAGGACGAGGGTCGGTGCCCGCACCCCGGAGAAGCAGCCGTGCATTTGCCTATGAGCTGACCTGCCCCAGCCCAGCTCCTTCCCTGAGCCAACGCATAAGTAGGTGCCTCCAGCCCATGTCCACTGAGCGAAGTACCCAGGCACAGCCTCAGGTCAGCATCTCTCATGCAGCTAGAACAGGACACTGTGTGCGGAAACATCGTGGGGAAGAAATTAGCTCTCTCCTAGGACGGTGAACAGCTGGAGGCTTAAAACCCTAAAATCTGAAGACTAAACCCCGCAGGCACACCTTCGGGTGTGTCTGAGTGGGTCACGACTCATGGCCTTGGGGACCCGTCCAACCCCACGCTTCCTCTCTGGCCCTTCTCTGTGCTCTGTGTCCTGGCTGCCCTACCTGAGTGGCTTTCTTCCGCCATTACCCTCCGCCATGATGCTCCTGCTCAGAGACATCTGCCCATGGACTGAAACGTCTCAGACCGTGAGCTGACATTCACACCAGCTCTGCTAAGCTACTTTGCTCAGGTCTTGGGTCACGGTGCCGGAAGGTGACTGACATGCTCCTGGAGTCTCGTAGGGAGCCAGACATGTGGCACCCCCAGCTGGGGCCAGCCTCAGCTCCCACCCAGAACCCAGGAGGCCACACACAGGAGTAAGCCACTCCGTTCCTGAGCCCAGCAGGGGCCGGCCTCCTGTGGCGCAGCCCTCTCTGGGCTTGGGCTTGAGCCTCAGCATCAACTCTGGCGCTGCTGCACAGAAGGCGCAACGGAGAAGACTGAGGTGCTCTCTCTGCACCCACGCAGAGCCCAACTCAATGGACGTTTGTCACGGACGTTTAATTATACTCAGAGTTTGCACTTACTTGGGGGCTGAGGCAGGAGGATCACAAGTTCAAGTCCAGCTTGGGCAATTTAGTGGAGAGACTGTTTTCAAAATAAAATTAGGAAAAGGCTGGCAGCTCATGCCCAAAGCCCTGCCTAGCGTGCTCGTGCCTGGGTTTAATCCCCAGGTTTGAAAAGTGAAAAGCAAGTTTGTGTTAAATGGTAGCCTTCAGCCCCAAGCCCGCTGTGCTGCTATCATGGACCACAGGCTAGCTTTTCTCTGGGCCACCTTCTCTGCTCAGGCCTGACAGTGCTCTGTGCTGCTGTGTGGCTCCAGTCGAATTTGCTATATCCAAATGTGCAGGAAATCACATGGCTTATTGCCCCAAGTCAACTGGCTTCTGAATCTAGTCTCAACCCCACCTGCCCAGTGGAATAGGAAATCCCTCCTCAGTCACTTGGGGTTCACTGGGGGCAGTCCCCACAGGACCCCAGGGCCACTGGGGTGTCCTGGAGCCTTTGCATGGAG